AAAAAAAAACCCAACACAGAAATGTTGAACTATCAGCAAACTGAGCCTGGGACCTGCCAAAATAACTTTGTTATCCTTGGCCCACAGAGCTCACGTATTAACAAGTATAATACAAACTCCATACACCTACAGTAAGGTGCCACAGTCCTCCAACATATAAGGACATAGAACCAGATATTCATTCTGCCTCAGAAAAAAATTCCATCATGAGACTATTTGTTCTCCACTGAGTAGAGAAGCACTCAAGCTAATAAACTCACATAGCTACGCCACTGTCTACTCAACAGTTCGATTCATTTTTTCTTTGCTTAATCTATTAAAGAATTCAAGTTAGACGACTTTTACAGGTGGCTTCTTTCATGCAAACGAGTTAATGACCAAGCTAAATAAAAATGAAATACAGACATAATCCACATCTTTCTTTCACAAAAACAGAGTGCTACAGTTCACTTTCACTATCCCTGAAATGTTTTAAATAATTTTAGAAAAGAATTATCAAATCCTTAAAAATTAATCTGCCAGAAAATTGAGGCTCACCCTCTGAACACCATTTATCTTCTCAAACTGGTGGTAATTTATCCTCTCCAGTTTGAGCACTCACTGGTCTTGATAGCTAAGCAATGAAGCAGTCTCCTCCTCGCTGGCTTGCTGCCTCGCCTCGATTTTTACACAGTCAGACAAGAAACGCCCAGATGGCAGCCAAGCACCTCAATCACAGTGAGTTTTCCTCATTCTCTTTCAGGGTTGCTCCTGTGTTCTGACCCTCGTCTAGATAATCCAATGCTAGCATTTTCAACAGAGTCACATAACAAAGCCCCACCTATTTTGAGTCCCATGAGGGCCCTGTTCCATGGACAACATGCCATCTGGCCAGGAACCCGGTTGGTTAGACGGTGCTGCCTGGCCATACGGACTGACTCCCATTCCCATGGGAATCTCACCAGGCCCTGGTGGAAGAAAAAGAGGGGATACATTTTCAAAGAAGGCAATAGCAAAAATTACCCTAAATCATCTAATTTTCTTTTTTTTTTATGGAGGGGATGCTTACGCATTTGAAGCATCTGCTGCTGCTGCTGCAACACTGGTCTCGCCCCTGGGATGCTACCGGCCCGCAGAGGCAAGGTGGGCATCGAGCCGCCCACTGCAGGTCTGGGAAGAGAAGCATTATAATCTGCTCCTGGTCTTCCCATGGAGTTGGCACTCATAGTTTCCATTCTACTGGCCTTTGAGTTTGGTAAGCCCCAGTCTCCTGAGGAAGGAGTCTGATTCACAGTCACATTTCTGTTTGGTCCACCTAAAACAGGTAGAAATGATTATGTCTTTCCCACATTATACTAAAATCCTTCTTATATAAGTATAGTCATTACACGCAAACTTGACCAAAAAAGTGCTGTCTTCCGAAGAATAGGGCTGGCCAACCATTGAGACATTTATTTTTTAAGACATTTTTGATAGGCAATTGTTGCCATGTATTCAACTAGCTTCCCTGAAAGTTTAAAATAACCAAGATGTAGAATAAATTAAGGAAACTCGTGAAAGAAATATTATGCTACTGTTATTCAAAAACCTATTATTTAATCCGAACTGTTTAAATGGGTTGAAGTATCTTAAATTTGCTTTACCCAAAAGAAAATTTTAATCGTAAGTACTGATTAGAAATAACATACCCATAGTTGAGCCGTAATTTTCCTGACTATCCATCATTCTTGGATTCCCACCCAACATGGGCTGCTTTGGTAACATGGGGAAAGCACTGATATTCTTTACTGGAGGACTTGAGCCAACAGAAACAGGGCTATCTAGAGACACTGCTCGGTTATATGGGGGACGAATGGCCTGCACAGACTGTGGACTCCTCAGACCTGTTGAAACACAGATGCACAACACATAAAAATCCTCTGATGATTCAGTACATTAAGTAATCAAACACAGCACATGAATACCAATACCACCCACACAAGAACGTCTTTCTTACTAAAATAAACACTAAGTACGGAAGAAAAAAAAAAAAACGAAGAAGAAAAAAAGCCTCATATTCCAAATACAGTAGAAACAAGAGTCCCAGTGCTGGCTGATGTACTGTTCCACAGTCTGACATGGTCATTCATACTCTGCTTCACTTAATATTGAAAATGTTATCAATGTTCAAACTCCCAGAGGTTCTTCCCTATATGTACTTAAGTGGATTCTGTTTAAAACTTAAAATTAAATGTAACTAGATAAGTTGCCTTCTAATCAAACAAGGAATGAAATGTGGTATTTCCCCCTAACTTTTTTCTTTCTCCAATTTATCTGATTGATTGGACTACCCATTTCATTTCCGTTTAGGAAATAGTGCCACTGAAAGTGAGTAACCACCATTCCTGATAACTGTGAATTTTTCTTGTTCAATCAATACCTGTAGTATACCCTTCTTAAACTGATGAATGAGGAAACCACACAGCTGTGGAAGAGAGGCTGGGGGAGAACCAGCAAACACTAAAAGAAGAAAAGACTCACAGCTAAATGACAAGGTTTCACAAGTGTCACAGGAGAAGTTTCAATCTACAGTTTTAGCTGCTTTTTAATTCAAGTCTCTGTGCCTAACAAAAATATATGCTCTGGTAGCTACCACTCATCTGGAGCAACCAAAGACGAACATTTTCCTAGAAGTTCCATGACTACTGGCATATTAGTTAGAAATAGGAAATTTTAAAAAACAGGAAAATGTCCAGGAAACTTTTTAAAACATATGCACTATGAATTATTAAAAAAAAAAAAAAAAAAAAAAAAAACTCTGAGAGGCACGATATGTATTTTGAAGCTAAAAATGCTAATCAGATTCCCATCTTATTCTAAGAGTACAGCTGACCCGTGACCACCACAGGGTTAGGAGCACTGAGCTCCCAACACATGGTCCATGTAACTACTGACCCCAGAAACTTAACTACTAATAGCCTACTTTGACCAAAAGACTTACCAATAAGTCAGTTAGCACATATTTTGTATGTTACATGTGTTATATACTATATTGTTAAACTAAAGAAATCAAGAAAATCATGAGAGGTGGGTCTGGGTGGCCCAGTCAGTTAGGTGTCCAACTCTTGATCTCGGCTCAGGTCTTGATCTCGGCTCAGGTCTTGATCTCAAGGGTCTGAGTTCAAGCCCTGCATTTTGTTTCTTGTTTTGGGTTTTTGGAGGGTTGTTGTTGTTGTTTTTAAATCGTAAGAAAATACATTTATAGTACTGTATTTATCCAAAAAATCCACGTGTGTAAGTGAACACGTGCAGTTCAAACCAGTGTTGTTCAAGGGGTAACTGTACATACAAATGTGCAGAAACTTTTAAAAGGCAGCAAGAATAAAACCTAGTTCTTTCTCACCCAGAGAATGAGTTGCTTGAAACATTTGTTGCTTGGTTCCCAGATTACTACCATTTGTGGATATGGAATTATTGTAGAAGTCAGAACTAGTCAGATCACCAAGAATAGCATCTAGATTATCCAAGTCTCCAGATCCCTGGAAAAAAAATTCTTTAATTAACCTGTATTAATTTTTTTCATTAACATTACTAGATACATAGGTATAAACATATTCATCAGAAGAACACAAATGAAATAGGAATAAGTAAAATACAATAGTTACCTAAAATAGTTAATGTCTAACTTAAAGTCTGGCTTCTTAAGACCCCTACCCCCAAATCTTCTTCCTTGAAACTTAGATCAGTGTACTGAAATAAATTCTCTGGGTTTGGAAGTGCTTTCAAAGGGGCATTTTTTTAATCTGCATTAGAACTTTAATTCTCAAACTGTAGGATATTTTCCAGCTAATGTTAGGATCATTAGTTGACAGAGAGGTCTGCCTCTACACCTACCTTCGGAAAACAAGTGTGATTAATAATAAAGGCAACAAGCTGACGTTCAGTAAGAGATTCATAGGCATGTTTTAAAAACGGTTCTTGGTCCACAGTTTGGAGAGCACTAGGTTAAACAAAATTAAACAGACATCCTAACAGTAAGACTTCCCCCAAGACTTTAATTTTCTCAGGTGAAGTCTCCCAGAAGAGTGATCCTCAAGCAGTATGGGAAACCCTTATATAGAATGAGATCACATAGAGTACAAAATTTGTTTTTAGGTACAAATCAAAATCTGTTACTTAATATAATTTTTTTTCCCCATTTCTTTCTACTATCCCTTTAAAAGACCCAATCTACTCATTCCAACAATAAAAACCTCCATGAAAATTTTCAAACTGGCTACCAACTGGTTCGAGTTAGAGTCACATTTTAAAACACGCACATCTGGTATTTCCAAATTGCATCATAATACACTTTACTGGGGCGCCTGAGTGGCTCAGTCAGTTAAGTGTGTGCCTTCAGCTCAGGTCATGATCCCAGGGTCCTGGGATCGAGCCCCACATCGGGCTCCCTGCTCGGCGGGAAGCCTACTTCTCCCTCTCCCACTCCCCCTGCTTGTGTTCCCTCTCTCACTGTCTGTCTCTCTGTCGAAAAAATAAATAAAATCTTTTAAAAATAAAATAAATAAATAAAAATACACTTTACTGATGCCCAAAAAATTATACAGAAATGACAGTTCAAGGGTAACTTCTATCACATAAACCTAAAACAGAAGGTAAGATTTTGCATATAACACATGGGCTTTCTAACACAGAAATGCAATGATTAAACACAATGACTAAGCTGGAATAGAGAAAAACAAATTACCTCTTCATTTGTTTCTGTCTTAATTTTAGAGTCCTTCTCTTGACTTGAGTTAGGAATGGTGGAGCTGCTGCACTGACTCATTTTACTGTCCACTCCTTCCACTTTGGGCTGCAGTTCTTTAGAGAGTGTATCACTAGGATCATCCCTGTCTAGCAGATATCTAAGAAGTGCATTATTTTCCTTCTTCTTAGGACTTAGTTGCTCCTGCTTGACATTTCCTTCCACACAAGATGCCGTACTACTGGTGTCTTTCCCAGTGGCTTCTGCAGTAATCTTGGCTACTTCTGCAGGTGAATTCCCATTCTGCAGCAACTTGTGCAGAATCCGGTGCTTCTCCTGCAGCAGTGACCCATGCATATTCGATGTGGAGGACACTCCTCCAGAGGTGGAAGAAGAGACCCCAGAGGGGCTGGTGACGCTAATGGAAGAGTCTTTACAACTTGAATCCAGGGGGGAGTTGGTCAAGGAGGAATGGCCCCGGTCATCAGAAGAACAGGTAAGTAACTGCAGTAATTTTTTATGACCCTTGCTTTCTAGAGGACCCCTCTGATTCTCTGACCCTTCAACAGTGCTCTCCTTACTTTCTTTGTCACTGAGGTGATCCCTGCTATTTGACTGACACATTGAACTCTCCACTGGATTCTGGTCACAATACAAGCCCAAGGGACTCTTGGAATCCTGACTGTTCACTTTATTTGGCTGGCTCATACTCATATTGGGAGAGTTATCCAATTTGGGGCCTGGTGAAGACAGAGTGGATAAAAGAGAAGTCCCCACACCCTCACTGATAGCTTGAAGTGCACTCAGAGAGCTGCTAGAAAAGCTGTGGCTCCCAGTATTACCAGAAGATCCCATGGGAGAGTGCACACCTGGATTGGGAGAGAAATAAGGGAAAGAATTAACTACTGGATGCTGTAACAAAAATGTCACTGAACTCTTCAGAGTTTTTTATAAAATGAACAAACTTTACAAGGATTACAACAGAGCAAGAAGAGAAGAATTACTGAGGAAGAAGACATAAAGAAAAGGAAATGCCTACACCAGTACCTGCAACAGGAGAAAACTGATGTGAGGCCATCTTTGGACTCCCACGGTTACGAGGAGAAATCATGATGTTCTGCTGGTTGGAGCCAAGGCCAGGGCTCCCATGTGGGGGGCTACTCATGTTGAGACCATAGTTGCTGTTCTGGTAGGAAGATGGTGACTGCATGCCTGGCCCAGGGTTCATTGAAGCTATGGGATTGGAGGCCCCGTACCTAGCCCCACTCATCTGCCCTGTGGTGCTGGGGTCAGCCAAGCCATAGGTCCTGTTGCTCAGCATCTGTAAACCTTGGTTTGGCGACATACTCATGCCGCCTACCGAACTGTTACATCCGGCTGCTGGAGGTCTAATGCCTGGTCCAACAGGATTCGTGTTTGCTCTATACCCATTCTGTTCCCTGCAAAGAAAGAAGACAAACTTTCACTAAAATATTACAGGCATGCATTAAAGCACTCACATTTTTTTTTTAAATGATGAAGTAAGTGCCCAGGAGTTTAACTTCCTAGGCAATACTTAGTGTCAATTCCAATCTAAATATTGATCAGTTATGAACCCAGTAACGTATTTTTTAATATGCCACAGAATCTAAATGAGTGACCACAAGCACAGCACCATGAAGGGCCAAGAACTATGGTAGCTGGGCTCGCAGCACAGTTTACTACAGTTGCCACACCTCGAGGGGCTAACCTGGAGGTAAGTGCAAATTACTCAAGATAATTAACGCATGAATATTCTGCTCTTCCATGTGCTGCGCATTTACCATTAGCAACAGCAATAGTATCTTTTTTTCTTAAAGTCTACTTTTAAATTTCAAATTCAATCACTAGAAGCAACGTAAACATATCATCAGAAATGAAAGGTAACAGCAGTAGTCAGATTTTTTACACTCTTTTATCCACTAGCCTTCCCATTCCCCAGCTTTCCTAGGAAGTAATTATTTAATGAACAAATCTTCATTTTCACATAATAATATAATCTTAAAAATATATGCTCGCTTTGGCAGCACATTAAAGTAAGTAAAATAAGGGGTGCCTGGGTGGCTCAGTCGTTAAGTGTCTGCCTTTGGCTCAGGTCATGATCTCAGGGCCCTGGGATCAAGCCCCGCATGAGGCGCCCTGCTCAGTGGAAAGCCTGCTTCTCCCTCTCCACTCCCCCTGCTTGTGTTCCCTCTCATGCTGTGTCTCTGTTAAATAATAAATAACATCTTTAAAAAATAAGTAAGGAAAATAAGTGTAACAATCCAGGAATCTAAACTCACTTCAGCAAATCCAACGTCTCTGCTTTTTCTCGTTAAACCTTTTTAAATTAATACTAAAGCACCTTGAGAACACTGCTGCATTTAATGTGAGGAGACCCAGTAATCTATCATTACCTCTGAAGAAAGTGGGTTGAGACAAAGCCATGCCGATCATTTGTGACAGGATTTCGGAAGAGTTTGCTTTTGGTTTGTGCTGTCACTATGGTTCCATCAGCCAATGAGAATCGATACACTGGGGTTTCTGCATGGCCATGGATATAAGCTGTTGGGGAAAATACGCCATCACTAGTGACTACAACTGACAAAATAGATACATATAAGAGAGGAGAGAAAGGAAATGTCCTTCAAGTGCCATATTTTCAAACTCCAGTGAAAAAAATGGACCTGCACCAAAATTATAAGCAGGCTAAACGAAGACTGCTCAAGAATCACTTTCCTACCCACACGCAAAAGCAGCCACGTATATACTTAATCCTTTATGGTACACAAACACAGTAACAAGACCAAGAATCAAACTCAAAATTCTTTACCTTCTTGATAGTGACGTTTCTGGGACCATGACTGACCATCATTAAGACTAAAAAATCTCTGGATACACCTTCGGATTATATCTTCAAAGCCGGGTCTCATGGAGGATCTCAGTGAATTTGTATCTATATTGACAACTTTTCCTATTAAACAGAAAATAAAGATTTAAATCCAACCCACAAGTATTTACTGGTTGCACATGAATGGCATAGTGCTGAAGAATAAAATAAAGACACTAAATCTTTTCTCCACCTTCTCTGCTATATCCAGAACTTTTCTTTTTAAGGACATAGTCCTACAAGACACTCTTACGTTAAATGTTCTACTGTACAAAACATAAGAGTATCACAAAATTCCTTTCACTTTCTGAATGTACAGAATATGACATGTCCAGATAACCTTAGGTTCATTTTTCACTTAAAGGAAAAAACAACACCTACCACTAAAATTGTTCATCTGAAGACATTTGACATCTGAAGACTATGAAAATACCTGCCTACACAGCTAGCAGGAACAATTCTTTCCATCTGAGAGGTGACTGCATTTTTGGACCCTTAAAATCTAAATCAGGACTGTTAACCAAATATTCATTTCTACAATTCTGGAAGTTTCTGACTTTTGCTTAACATTTGCTTAACTAGTTGTCTCTAGTGTATTTGAACATACAATTTATACAACTCAAAAATGCTATGAAGGGGCACCTGGGGTGGCTCAGTCGTTAAGTGTCTGCCTTCAGCTCAGGTCATGATCCCAGGGTCCTGGGATCAAGCCCCACATCGGGCTCCCTGCTCAGCGGGAAGCCTGCTTCTCCCTCTCCCACTCGCCCTGCTTGTGTTCCCTCTCTCTCTCTCTCTCTCTGTCAAATAAATAAATGAAATCTTCAAAAGAAAATGCTATGAAATAAAAGGTTTCATGAAGATGGTCCTTAAAAAATGGACAGCTATGCCTTTTCACACTTTCTGAGCAGTATACCAGGGCAAGATGGCAAGAATAAATGCCTTACAAAAAATGTCAAAAACTAGCCAAAAAGAGAGGCCCCTGGGTGGCTCAGTCAGTTAAGCATCCAACTTGATTTTGGCTCAGGTCATGATCTCAGGGTCATGAGATCAAGCCTAGTGCTAGGCTCTATGCTGGGTGTGGAGCCTGCTTAAGATTCTCTCTCTCTAAATAATAATAATAATAGTAACAGTAATAAATTTAAAAATATTTTTTTAAAAAGGAGCCAAGAAGAAAGTAGTTGACCCACTGTCAAAGAAAGAGTGGTATGAGGAGAAAGCACCAGCTATGCTCCATATAAGGAATAATCCAAAAACATTATTCGTAAGAACTTTGTCAAAGGGACCAAAATTGCCTCTGATGGCCTGAAGAGTTGTGCTTTTGAAGTGAGCCCTGCTGATCTGCAGAATATTGAAGTCACATTTTAAAAATTCAAAATAATTACTGAGGATGCCCTGGGCAAAAACTGGGTGATCAACATTCGGGACATGGATATCCACAACAAATTATGCTCCCTCGTCACAAAATGTCAGATTATGATTGAAAGCTCATGTTGCTGTCAAGACTATCAATGGTTGTTTTTGTCTGTTCTGCAAAGGCCTTACTAAAAAAATGCAATACCCAGATCCAGATGACCTTTTATGCTCAGCACCAACAGGGTCCCCCAAATCAGGAAGGTGACAGAAATCCTGACCCAAGAGGTACAGACAAATGACTTAAAAGAAGTAGTCAATAATTTGATTCCCAGACAGATTGGAAAGCCTTTTCTATATCTCTCCTCATCTATTTGTCCTCTCCATGGTGTTTGTCAAAAAAGTTAAAATGTTGAAGAAAAGCAGGTTTGGATTGGGAAAACTCATACAGCTTCACATGGTAAAACAGAGTTCTAAAAATGCTACTGGGGATGACAAAGGCACTAATGGCAGATAAGCTGACAAACAGAGGCCCCAGTCTAAGAATCTGTTTAAAATTCAGACCTTTGGGCGCCTGGGTGGCTCAGTTGGTTAAGCGACTGCCTTCAGCTCAGGTCATGATCCTGGAGTCCCCGGATCGAGTCCCGCATCGGGCTCCCTACTCAGCAGGGAGTCTGCTTCTCCCTCTGACCCTCTTCCCTCTCGTGCTTTCTATCTCTCATTCTCTCTCTCTCTCAAATAAATAAATAAAATCTTTTAAAAAAAAAAAATTCAGACCTTTAATGACATATTAAAAAAAAAAAAAACCCTTAATGATGGGGGGCACAGGGGGATGACCCTACAAAGGAGGGACATATGCATTCCAGGAAAGAGTAAATGTTTATGTGCTGCACCCAGAATAAGGATGTTCTGTCCTCAAGCACCTGCCCTAAGCTTAGCTCCAAGAGCCAGATGACAAACACAAAATAGATGTTCAGAAAAAGTTTACATCAGGGACAGAGAATAAAACCTCTCCAAAAAAAGTACTGCACTCAGTGCAACAAACCTCCTATGAAAGAACAGGTAGCAACTGGAAAATATGTGATGAACTATTTGATTTTTCCTGCTTGGTAATTTCTAACTTTTATAACGTGTATGTATTGCTTTTATAATAAAAGAAAACATTAATGAGATCATTTTAAAGGTTCTAGTCACTAAACTACTTGAATAAAGATGTTCTAAAAATGTTCTATTTACTATTTTCCTTTTTTGTTCTATTTAGCATTTTCTATTACAAAATGTGAAGTATTGTTCTTTAATCTGCCAAATCATAATAGATACAGAGAAAGAACCACTTCAGAAGGTAAAAATTCCTGTCACCAGGTTTGACGATCTCAAGGTAAGTAAATAAATATTATTTCATATTGGAAAAATTTTTTCTCTATCAGTGTAAAAAGACTAAGAATACAAAGAACTTTTTTACTATTGTTTCATCTGTGAAAATTAATCTCAAGCAGCCTCAAGACAGGAAACTGAGCCTGCATAAAATGACTGATAACTACAAAAATAGTTTTTTAAACAGTAATATATTGTTATGTATGTATGTGTAGATAACATATATACACATACACACATACATACACACATAATAGCTAGAGTATGTTAGATGTTTATTTAAACCTACTCCATTTTATCAAATTATTTATTGCAGGTCCACATGGTAGACACAAAACAAAACAGTACAGACTTCAACATCAGGCAGATCCAGCAGCAAATTCTTTATTAGCCAGGATCTTGGACAAGTAACCCAACCCATCTGTCACCAGGCCTAGTTCCTCATCTCAGAGACGGTGCCTAGAGATGGTGCCTAGAAGACAAACGTTGGCATCACCATTCAGGGTTAGATGATCACAAGAGTAACCCTGAAGGTAAACAGAGATAATACTGCCACCACATTTAACTTCATCAGTGTGCTTTAACACTTACACTGGCTTTAATTCTTTATTCCCATAGTCAAAAAAGGGAGACCAAGACTGAAACTCGGGACACCTGGGTGGCTTAGTCAGTTAAGCATCTGCCTTTGGCTCAGGTCATGATCCCAGGGTTCTGGGATCAAGCCCCACATCGGGCTCCCTGCTCAACGGGGAACCTGCTTCTCCCTCTCCCTCTGCTGCTCCCCCTGCTTATACTCTCCCTCTCTCTCAAAAATAAAATCTTTAAAAAAAAAAAACTGAAATTCATGTTGATATTAAAAATTACTCCCAGTAATTCTCATTAAATTATCTATATTTTTGAAAACTTATTTATGAAAAATGGGTTTAAAGTTAGAGAAAGAAATACTAACTTCTGACATGAAATGCTATTTGGAGAGAAAGCCAGGTGCCTCTACATTTATTTTTTATTTATTTGAGGGATTTTAAATGTCAAATATACCCAACACAAATGCCAGGGGTCTTAGTGAATCTTAGAGTTGCATAAGAAACATAAATAATCCATGCAAAGCATTCATGACAGTGGGTGTAGGCACTTACATGATAGTGCAGGCTATAGAAATAGTTAACTTTTATAAAACTCTCCAATGAACAAAATGTATACACACACACATACACCAAGTGTTTACCTGAAAGATCATGTCTAGTAATAAAGCTCTCAGGGTTTGAGGGAAATGCTCTTTCTCCTGTAGTAATGCGGCGTGCTACACAGATCATACAGGATTGCAAATCTACAATAAAAATTTAACCAGGTAAGGATTATACTTAACTTTTGGACAAGTCTATTCAATAGGCAACTAAGGATGTGGAATTCAGTAAATGAATACAACACAAAGAACTACAAATTTGTCCACTGTTTGGCAGATATCTCAAACATGTGGTCAATCTTACCTTCCCCTTCCTCCATCATGGCTCGAGGCTGAGACAGGGCAAAGCACTGCATTGTTTCGTATCTCTGGCGCATTTCAGGACCAGTGTTTATGTCTTCCAGAATATCATGCGGTGTTTTCATCAGCATACGGCAATTAAATGTATGGCTTTTTTGTCTCTGGGTCTCATTTGTCCAGGAAACTCCATTAACTTTGGAAAACAAAAGGAAAAAAGTTTTTTAAAAAGCTGGCAACTCCATCTGTGACTATCATCAAGAATTTAAGCTGTATTTTCTCATTACTATGTTTTCCATAGTAATTTCTACACAGACATTTCGCAGTGGCAATATATATAATATTGAAATAACCTCCATTTCAACAGAAATCTCACCATTTTGTAATTCACTGTATATTTTGGCCCCATGAAATGTGCACCAAATTCTAAATTCACCGAGGTCATATTTGAAAGTTTTGCTATTAACCACCTGCCTTTCTGCACAAGGCTGATCACTTTACCTCCCAAAATGTACATTCAATTTTCTAAGAAATGGTCAAGAAGATAAATTTTTTTAACTTATTTAGAAAATACACATTAAAAGACTACCTGTAGATTTCGGTAAGTTTTTAAGGAAATCCTTTCTGTCTTCTTCATGCAAGATATTGTAGACACTTGTGTTAACCAGGTCCTCTTGCTTATATTGCAGATACTGTGTGACATTTTCTGACACAAATACAATGTTTCCATCACGATTCACCACAAACAGGAAACCATCCAATGCCTAAAGTGGGATATGTTAATATTGGCTATTATGGACTGAACTGTATCCCCACCAAAATTCACATGCTGAAGCCCTAACCCTCGTAAGAATAGGGCTCTAATCCAATAGGACTGACGTTCATATATAAGAAAAGAGACACTAAGGATGCATATACACAGAGAAAGATCATGTGAAGACGTACAGAAAAGGCAACCATCTACGAGCCAAGGAGAAAGGTCTCAGGAGAAACCAAGCCTGCCAACACTTGATCTTGGACTTCCAGCCTCCAGAACTTTAAGAAATAAATTTCTGGGAATGCCTGGGTGGCTCAGTCAGTCAAGTGTCCAACTCTTGATTTCAGCTCAGGTCATGATCTCAGGGTCGTAAGATCGAGCACCGCATCAGGATCCACACCTGCTTAAGATTCTCTCTCTCTTCCTCGCCCTCTGCCCCTCCCCTGCTCTCTTGCTCTTAAAAAAGAAAGAAATTTCTGTTGTTTAAGCCACCCAATCTGTGATATTTTGTTATGGCAGGCTTAGCCTATTAAGATACCAGACTTAATACTAAACAGAAATTTTTAAAACTGTTGATTTAACAACCACAACAATTATCAGCTACCATTTCTATTAACATTAGCACGATTACTATAGGGTTTTATAAAAAATAAAAAGAACTGGGGAAAAAAGATAACCACAGTCAACATAAAATCTGAATCACTGTCTAATCTAATTTTTGAAGAATTACATCTTGAAAGGAGCTTTAAAAAAATAAGAAAATCATCCTTAGCACTTTGTTTTTCCACTTGATACCAAGTCAAGCTATAGGCACTACACTACTGCCTAATGAAAATTTACAAAGAACTAAGTTGATCAACTAAAAAGTAGTTGGAGTAAACTAGTTGAAACAACAAAGAAAAGTTAACAGGTGCACTTTATGAAGAGTCTCCCTGCTCCCAAATCCTACTTTAAAGTAAGAGAAACATACTATAGGTACTACAGGTGAATCAAACCTATTTAAGGAAACAAAAGTGTATTTTTAAGTCTTAAAAATTCCTCAAAAGTATAATATACTTGCCTGAAGTAAAAGTGGCCCTAAGGAGTCTTTATCAATAACTCCCTGTCCTGTAGAGGACACATCAGCTTTCTGAACATCATCATCATTAGAAATAGCTTTTCCTGAAAAGACACAAGGCAGTACTACAAATAGCATGTGTATCAGTTATAGATCAAATTCACCTTCACACAGTGCCCAGAACAAAGACACACACGGGCATACACACGCACATATATTACATTTCCTGACAAGAAAACAATGCTATAATTTTTAAATGTTAAAACTTAGGATTTACCCAGGAGGGCAGAAGATGCCCTGAAGTTTCCTTCACTACACATGTACTATCTATGGCTTCCTGAAAGGAAGCTAACACGTGACAGGGTGAGAAAACAAGCCTCTATCTACTTCTCGATTAACTGTTTCTCAAAGAGTAAAGTTGGTCAACTCATCTGTCCAGTCCCACACAGGCTAGGTTCAATTAGCAGTAGTCCATCCATGAGCAACAAGGAAGCAAAAAGACAAATGTAAACACAGTTAACAAGTTCCTCCTGAAAAGACTTGAGTGTTTTTCTTACTTTGTATTACCTTGCTCTTTTATTTGACGTATCTGTCTTACTGTTTCCTTTAAAATTGCACATTTATCTGGTTTGACATTGAAATTGTCAATATCACTAAGATTAGCAGATATCAGTTCAGCCAATTCTTCAATATATTTACTCTCCTGCTCCCGTCTCCACTTTTCACCACTGCAGGTAAAACTGAGAGAGAAGGAGGAGGTCATGAGTATACCTACCACAAAAGAGCAGCAAGCAGAACCAGTCTCTATACAACACCAGTACCTTCATATCAAAACAAATTAAATTCAGCCAATAGAAACCATCAAAACCTTGTCTTGGAGAAGTAGTACAATAGAGTAGAAATTGAGGCAAACCTAAATTCAAGTCCACCTCTTTGTTAGCCTGGTGGCCTTGGGCAGACTTAGTCTGTTTCATCATCCAGAAAACGAGGATACATAGTCTTTACCTCATAGAGACAGTAAAACACCAAATAACAAGGAAAACAGTGTTAGCTACTTATTAATGACAAGGTTTTATGGCTTACAGGTCATTTTTTTACTCTGCAACAATCACATTAAAACTCAAGTCATATTGACCTTGGCAAATACTAAAAAGGCTAGAGTATCATTGCATAAAATGAAGTATCTGATTTCTATTTTTTAAACTTCGAACTTCATTCAGGAAAAGAATGATGAAACCCCACAAATGCCAAAATACCAACTTACAACATTTTCTTACAGGAATTCAAAGAGTCTTACTTGTGATAATCTTAATTATCTATTCCTAACTCCTACTACCTCCACTGAGAAATGCTTGATACCGTATCAAAGGTGTTAGTGTAAGATTCTTGCTTCTATCTGAATCAGCAACAAAATTTCTATTCCATCATAAGGATGTCCATCTGATCACTATGCCACACTACTTACTACAAAGCGAAATCATATTATTTAAGCAAAGACAAAAAAAAAAAACCTAACCAGAGAATATAAATAACAAAGCTGAATGCTATCTTTAAGCAAAAATATAACAGTAGGGGGAGGAGCCTTTGGTGAAGCATCTGGAAATACACTGCCTACCCTTGTCCTGGAGTATCACATGGCAATTTGCGTTTTCGTGAATCAGGGGCCAGTGGATCCAAGGAGTTTTCTCCTAATCCGCTCATCGTGACTATACATCAGCAACTAAGAAAGAATAATGATAAGATGAAAATATTATAAAATATCCATGACTCTATAAAGCTGCTGTATGCTTGAGTGGCTTAATTTTGTAATTCAGAACTACACTCCCTACATGGTTAGATAATCCTTTTTTTAAGATTTTATTTATTTGAGAGAGAGACAGCAAGAGCAGGGGGAGCAGCAGAGGGAGAGGGACAAGCAAACGCCTCACTGAGCAGGGAGCCCGCAGGGATCAATCCCAGGACCCTGAGATCATGACCTGAGCCAAAGGCAGACACCTAATCGACTGAGCCACCCAGGCATCCCCATGGTTAGATAATTCTTAATATTATTATAAATTTGTATTCTGAAGATAACGTCAAGAGTTCACATTCCAGTTTAATTATGCAGAACGCCCAACTCCAAGACTAAAATGTTTCTCAAATCCTACTAAAAAATGTGTATGTTAAATACTACAAAGGATAAGGAAGGCATCTTCTTCATATTTAATAACAAGAAAAAGAGACCGCCAACTCTCCACGTGATGAAATCCTGGGGCACCTGACTGGCTCAGTCAGTAGAGAAGGTGCCTCTTGATCTCGAGGTTGTGAGTTTGAGCCCCAACACTGGGTGTGGAGATTACCCAAAAATAAAATCCAAAAATAAAATCTTTGGGGGGAAAAAAACCTTACATTTTATTTTTACCCAAGAAAGCACAAATTAGAGCTTATCTTGTCATTTGGTAAGGAGTCTTCAAATGATAAAAGTCTAAATTGTTTTCAGGCTATTTTCAAGGTACCACATGGTTCTCCTTTAAACCATTTCATTAGTATTTGTTACCCACCGTGTTGTTCTTCTGTGAGTTCAAAATAAACCTGGAATGTGTAAATAACACATAAACTCCACTGTGTTAGGCCTGGAGAGAAGACGTACACAATAAAAAGTTCAGGGGGGAAGAAGGGCTTTTGACAAGATCCACATAGCAAGAATTATCTTAATATTAACTGATGGAAATGTAATATGTTTTGGTTAAGATTTCAATGATAAAGAAAATAAATGTAGGGTGTTTCTTGTTGAAACAATAACAGGTTTTAACATTCAGTAGCTCATAATTTTAAGACCTCTACTAAGCCTTCACTTACTAAGAACTTTATTTGTCCTAAACGCTTGTTTAGGAAGACAATCATTGTTCTAAAGAATTCCAAGTCCATCAAGAAGTTCAAACTTTCCAAACTACTTTTTTCTTAGTATGTTAAAATCCATCTTGCAGTCCATCTAGATTTTTAGACATGTAGTGAAGGATATAAATTTCCACTAGGTGGCACAATAATACCAGGAAAGGAGACAAAAATTCAAAATCAATGAAACTTAAAATAAGTAGCTTTTTAAAAAACAGAACCACATGTTAACCAAGAGCTCTAGATTATGACATCAACCTTTACATATGCTGTAGGTATGAATTAAATACCAACAAAATTCATTCTACCTGTAATTTTGGTAGTAAAATATAAAAGCTGAAAAGCTGAGATGTTTCCAAGAAAAGGAGAGAAAAGAACGTATCTTTGATTTATAGTGGCTCAATATGGGGTGCCTAGGTGGGTCAGTGGGTCGAGCGGCAGACTCTCGATTTCAGCTCAGGTCATGATCTCAGGGTTGTGAGATGGAGCCCCATGTGGGCTCTGCATTCAGCAGGGAGTCTGCTTGGGAGTCTCTCCCTCTCCCTCTGCCCCTGGGCCTGCATGGGCACGCACACTCTCTCCCTCTCTCTAAAATAAATCAATCTTTAAAAAAAAAAATAGTGGGTCAATATTATGATTTTGAAGCAAACCCAGATCCCACAATGCCAGAAATACTGTATTCTTCAAAAATGACAATGTCATAAAAGACAAAATCTGTAAATATTCCAGATTAAAGAAAGCTAAAAAGAAATGACAAATGTGATATCTGATCCCACACTGGATTCTGTCCTGGATGGGGAGGTGCTATAAAGGACATTAATGGATCAACTGACAAAATTAGAATATGGACAATAAGAATATTTTATCAATGTGAAATTTACTTAGTTCTGTACGTGTTTAAGAGGCTATCCCTATTCTTAATATTTACAGTAAATGGACCATTATATATGCAAATGACCCTCTAGTGGTGGAGGGATGCGATTTATAAACATTTTAAGTGACGGAGTGAAAAAAGAAACAGAAAGAGAAGCAAAGAGGGAGAGGAAGAAGAGAGGAGAAAGGAGGGCAGCAAGATACTGACAAGGGTGAATCTTGGTAGAAGAAAAATTGTTTAATTCTTTGTACTGTTCTTTTTCTTGCAACTTTTAAGTTTAAAATTATTTCCAAATAAAAAAGTTTTAAAGTATGTTCAGTTTTGATTTCCGATTTTCATATGTAAAAAGAGTCCTTAAAAGTACAGAAAAATAATTTTAGTTATGTCTCAATACACACCTGGTTTTATATTTGTTTCATTCACAAAGTTATTTTTAAACTGAGTGGCAAACCATCCAGTGAATAATAACATTTCTTTACTTTAAAAATATAATCTAGGGGCGCCTGGGTGGCTCAGTCGTTAAGCGTCTGCCTTCGCCTCAGGTAATGATCCCAGGGTCCTGGAATCGAGCCCCGCATCAGGCTCCCTGCTCCGCGGGAAGCCTGCTTCTCCCTCTCCTGCTCCCCCTGCTTGTGTTCCCTCTCTCACTGTGTCTGTCAAATAAATAAAATCTTAAAAAAAAAAAAAAAAACAGGGGCGCCCGGGTGGCTCAAGTCATTAGGTGTCTGCCTTCGGCTCAGGTCATGGTCCCAGGGTCCTGGGATCGAGCCCCGCATCAGGCTCCCTGCTCAGTGGGAGGCCTGCTTCTCCCTCTCCCACTCCCCCTGCTTGTGTTCCCTCTCTCCCTGTGTCTCTCTCTGTCAAATAAATAAAATAAAATCTTTAAAAAATAAAACAAAATAAAAATATAATCTATTCCACATCCTGGATATTATTTCCTTACTTTGATATCAAACATAAGCTGAATCCCCAAAACTGAATGGCAAACTATTTGGTGAACAAATAGCATTTCTTTAATTTGAAAGACATAATTTATTCCACAGTCTCAGTATTACTTCACCTTACTTTGCTATTAAATATTAAGCTGAATCTCCAGTACAGTTTAAGGTGCCTAGCATTTAATAAGTGGTCAATAAATGTCTTGAATAAATATTGAATAAATGGAACATTCAACTTATTAAGTCATACTTTAGAATTCCCTTCATTCTAATCTATGTAATAGTTCAAACTTTTTCAATTTTTCACTTCTACACTTGATATAGGATGTCACCAAAATGAATTTTAAAGGCATAGATTACCTCAGTAGAGAATGAAAAAAACATGACAATCTCTTAGTATGGAAGAAATCAATAATCACAATTACAGTCTAAACCAGAAAGGCATACAAGCCATTCACGTTACATCAATTTTTACGTGCATGTAGAGAAATATAAATAGGTCAAATGTGTCCATATATACATATGTGACTCTTTCTCTTGATCTGGCATAACAACAAGCTGTCATGTGCATATGACTGTGTAGTCTATGTGCTACCAAATTTACTCTTTTACAGAATCCTCTGATCTCTAGTAACAAAGGTAATTATCCCCAAACGTACTAACACAAAATTCTAATGTAAAACCATGAAGGTATCATTCTTTTTCTTTTTCTTTTTTTGAAGAACAGGTTTGCCAATTTCTTGCCTAGTTGTTACTCAGATATGAACCTTGACACCACGTCACATTTATTGCGCAACACCTGGAAGACCACAGGACTTCCAAGAATGAATGATAGAATACCATACAACAACGAAAAAACTCAAAATGCAGCAAATGCATCTCCTAAATTTCATTAGGATAAAGAAAATGTTCAACATGAAAATGAAAACTCTAAGTATTTCTGCCCAAAAAATAAGTTTCAGTATATACAATAACTAATACAATTATTCCTGAGCATAAATGACTATGACATACTTTATAGTTTTCTGTTTATTTGGTATTAATCTTTGTTATAAACATAAAAATTGTAAATAGCATTTGTTTTATTTGCCAGGTCTGCTGCCTGCTTCTCACTGGCAGAGATGGACTCAAACTACATCCACCTGAGAGGATATATTCTAGCTTGGTAAATTATTCTTTTTAAGGTATGAAAGATAAACGCCTAGCATACACACCTAAATCTAGACCATTTTCAGTCAGTAGTCAATCATCAGGGTGGGAGGGAAGAAGTTGCGAATGAAGAGACGTCCCCCAAGTGATTATGAAACTAGAGATATACCTCAACTACACTTCCAGGTAGAATACAATCCAATCACAGTTTTTTCAAGCCCATGACACCACAGTATAAAAAAGACTAGAGGAGCACTTAGGTGTCTCAGCTGGGTAAGAATGTGCCTTTGCCTTGGGTCATGATCTCAGGGTCCTGGGATCAAGCCCCAGTAAGGCTCCCTGCTCAGTGGGGAGCCTGCTTCTCCCTCTCCCTCTACCCCTACCCCCTGCTCATGTTCACTCTATCTCTCAAATAAATAAATATTTTTTTAAAAAGAGAGAGAAAGAAAGAAAAGGACTAGAGTGGAGAACTTATTGAATCAGAATCCAAGGGCCCAAAACGTATTCAGTCTTTCCATGTGAACTCAGCCATCTAGATCCTTGAGTCGTTTTACATTTTTTTTCCTTTTCTAAAATGTTTCTACTAAAGAGTTCTGTGCTATCTACTTCAATATACTGATACAACAACACACACTTTAAGCTAAGATTACATTTAAGCAAGATAGTCTATGCAATTTACTTCAAATATAGATAGCAATTTAGAATAACTTTCAATGCTATCAAAATCTAATGTTACCTACTGCTATATTATTTGGAAAAATCGGATTTAAAACGAAAAAAATCTTAACAGGAATTGATTAGAATTCCTTATATAAATACTACAGCCTTTCTATACACAACAAGCTATGGTACATGTTTAAGCTTAGACATGCTCAGAATAGAAGT